AAAAAAAAAAACAAACAACCCTGTAACTGAAGTTATAGATAAATGATTGTGAGCCATCATGTGGGTTCTGGGAACTGAATCCAGGTCCTCTGTACAAGAAAGACATGCCCTTAACCATGGAGCCACCTCTCCAACCCTTATTTCCAGAGTCTTGAGTGGCTTTTTTTGTTTGTTTGGGTTTTGTTTGTTTTTTGTTTTGTTTTTCAAGACAGGGTTTCACTGTGTATCCCTAGCTGTCCTGGAACTCTTTCTATAGAATAGGCTGGCTTTGAACTCAGAGATCTGCCTGCTTCTGCCTTCCTAGTGCTGAAAATAAAAGCATGCGTCACTGGCGCCTGGCTTTGCATGGCTTTAAATATAATTTTCATCCATTTAATTGATAGTGAGTCTGCCAAGTTCCTTACATCTTAAGATTTCTTCATATATATAAAACTAGCATTGTCTTTTTTACTGCTTCAAATAGTACTTTGTAGTTTGATTTAAAGCAGTTTAAAGTTGACTTTTTAAGAACAAATAGGAAGCAGCACCCTGTTTTGTAAAGTTGTCTTTGTCATCTCTAGTAACTGTTCTTGGTTGTTGTTCTTCCTTCCTCCCCTCTCTTTCTGTGTGTGTGTGTGTGTGTGTGTGTGTGTGTGTGTGTGTGTGTGTGTGTCAGGGTGAGGGCAAGGTTTCAGCTGGCCTCATAGAACTTACTGTGTAGTTTAGGATGACCTTGAAATCCAGTCCTCCTCCTGGCACTTTCCAAGTATTGATTGGGTATGCAGGCATGTTTCTTCTCTCCTGACTTGGAATTTTTTCTTTATATTAAAATGTAAGGTCTGGTTTTTGGTTTTTCTTGTTGTTATTTGTTTGTTTGGTTTTGGTTTTTCCTAATTGACTATTAGCATGTGTGCCTTCCCTGTTTTCCCTTTGAGAGGTCTCACCATAGCCTAAGCTGCTCACAAACTTACTATGTAACTTAGGATTTGAACTTCTGATCTTCCTGTCTCTACCTCCTTAATACTGAGATTGCAGATGTGTACTGTGACACCACCCCTGGCTCCCCGTGGTGATAAAAGTCAAACACTAGGCTTCCTAAATGCTGGCTGGTTAGATGAGCACCACTGTACTAACTGAGCCACAGGCCAAGCAGCAGTGAGAAGTCTTTATAGATGTATAATCTCTCCTCTTTGCAGTGTTTTCCCAGATTTTCGGATATAAAGATCAAATATTTTTAGCTTACTTTGTTGTTATTTAAAAGTTGTTTGGACATTAAATGCACAGTCATGATTCTCACTAAGATCATCTCATAGTTGTATTTAGGAATACAACACTTATCAAGGTATGACAAATACAATTTTTTAATTTTTAAAATTCATTTATAATGTGGCCTATGCACATATATATGCACATCTCTGTGTGTGTGAGTCAGAGGACAGTTTGGGGAACAGCTCTCTCTTTCTCCTGTGGGGTGGGGGAGTAGGAACTGTAACTCACCTTATAATACAGCTGCATTTCCTTTGTGAGAATGATGAGTTTTGTGAACATGATGGATTTTGTCTGTTCTCAGGTCTGGAGAGAATGATGTAGAGTATAACAACATGGAACTGGAAGAGGGAGAACTCATGGAAGATGCAGCTGCTGCAGGACCTCCAGGTACAGGGCCCAGGCTCCACGAGTCACCTGGCTGTCATAGTTTAGTGGAGGGCAACCATTGTTTATTTGTTTGTTCTGTTTCTTGACTTGGGATTTCACTATGTAACCTGATTCTCCTGCCGTGGCCTTTCCAGGGGTGGAATTACAGATATAGACCACACATGTGGAAAATTTACTTTATAGTTAAAGAGACTGATGCACAGGTAAATTAAGCAACTTACCCTGTTTTCACAGCTAAGCAAATAAGGAGAAATTGGATCTTGAGGTTTGTATGGATTTTGTGTACTCTTGACTCTGGGGTGTGAGTCTTACTGTATTAAGCTTTGTTTACAGAATGATTTAAATAGCCGCATGGAATATGGGCTTACATAGGATATTTAGAAAGCTGATTTTCAGAGCTACACAAACTCATGTGTAGTTACCAGGTCACATATGTAGTTGTTGCTTCAACTAGTTTAGAACCCAGATTTTGTTAGATGCAGCCCTCCACCCTTCCCAAATCATACTGAGAAGATCTTATATATGTAATGGATGTTTCTGATTGTAAGAATTGGCTGGAACATTTAAAAGCTAGCTTTTGGCATTTATCTCTAATCCCAGCTCTTGGAAGGCTGAGGCAGGAGGATTAAGAATGCAAGGCCAACCTGAGGTAGATTATTCTGAGGCCAGAAGAAGATCCCCTGGGACTGCAGTTAGTAAAAGTAATAAGCCACCATGTCCTCTTAAATAGCAGAAGTGCGAGTGTGATCTACAGAGTGAGTTCCAGGACAGCCAGGGCTACACAGAGAAACCCTGTCTCCAAAAACAAAAAGACAACAACAAAAAGTATTTACTGGTAATTTAACAAGAAGTGGATACTGTTTGAATATGTAGATTCCGAGTATTGAATAAATGTCATTCATATTTTCATTTGTTTTTGTTTGTTTTTTTTTGCATTTATTTTCTGTAGCTCTAAATATTCTAATAAAATTTAGATACTTTATCCTAGATATTAAAGATGTAAAGTGAAAAAAGACCCTTATTTTTATTGTTGAACTTTGCTGAAATTTATCTACTTAACACACATTGAATATAATAGTATATTTCTAGTTCCTGAAAAATAGAATGAAAAAGTCTTCTGTACTTTATAACTAAAGGTGAATAAATGCAAGAATAATTAGCAAAATATATGACAGTACACACGCAGATTTTAAGTCATATTTGAAAGACTCTTTCCTCAGTGAGATAGAGTATAACTCGCCCTCGTTTAAGTAAATGTTGTGCTGGGGGAAGCTTGACCACATCACATGTGATGGATGCATTTAGCATTGTTTGTGGTGAGACGTGTCAATGTGTAGAGAACATTTACCTCTGTAGTGTTGAATCAGAGAAACCCTTAACTGAGGGACATTGTACAGATTGTCCAAATAAGGACAATAATCACAAACCAAAGAAGACTAGTTTGATGTTCTGGATTAAATTCTAGAAGAGAAAAAGTGAACATGTGGGGAAAATTAATGATCTATACACAGTAGAATTTAGTTAGTAACTTAGTATATCAGTATTGGTTCATTTGTTGTGATAAATGTATCAAAGTAATGAAAGGTGTTAACAGAGAAATGGGTGTGAAATATATAGAAGCATTCTGTACATTTTCTATAATTCAGACTTCTAAAAATTAAAAACAATGAATCAGTGATTAAAAGCTGGCGTGGGATTGTGTGCAGCATTCCCAAATCCCTGGGCCTGCCCAGTTGCACAGCAGCCAAACATAACATAAGAGACCCTGTTTCAGACAAGGCGGAGAGCAAAGAGTGGCAGCTGAATTTGTCTTCTGATCTCTATAACCTTATTACGGCATGTATACGACATATACTTAAAGGCAGACACGCAAACACACATGCACACACAGCAATACAGCATTTCTAATTCAAATTGATATTGATAAGGTTATTACTCAAAACATTTGTTCTTTTTTGTTTTTGCTTTTTTTTTTTTTTTGAGATATGGTCTTATGTTTCCTTGGCTGGTCTGAAGCTCAGTATATAGAACAGGATGGCCTTCCATTCACAGAAATTTGCTGACTCTGCCTTTCAAGTGCTGGCATTAAGCCTGGACCTTTTTATTGTTTGTTGTTATTTTAGCTTTGGTTTATGAAACCAGTGTTGTTGTTGTTGTTGTTGTTGTTGTTTTTTTAATGTAGCCCCAGCTAGCAACTTGCTGTGTAGATCAGACTAGCCTTGAACTCACAGAGATCTGCCTGTCTGTCTCCCCCATGTTGCGATTTAAGATGTGTGCCACCGTACCCGGCTTATTATGTAGTTTTTTTTTAGCATCTTGATTATTTTCTTATGTATGTATTTACAGCATCTTATTTTGTAGTCTAGGGGACTGGCCTCAAATTCATAGCAGTTCTGGTATTGCAGCCTCCTGAGTACTGGATTATAAGCATGAGCCACCATACTTGACTGGTGAAAAGATTCATATTTCTCATCATATTTTGGAGTTCTTCAGTTATTTTTTCAGATAATTCTTTGCAGTTTTTTCATTTTTTTGTGACTTAGTTTAATGTTGCTATTTTTATTTAAATTTTTTTATTTATTATGTATACAATGTTGTCTGTGTGTATGCCTGGTGGCCAGAAAAGGGCACCAGACCTCATTGCAGATGGTTGTGAGCCACCATGTGGTTGCTGGGAATTGAACTCAGGACCTTTGGAAGAGCAGGCAATGCTCTTAACCACTGAGCCATCTCTCCAGCCCCCTATGTTGCTATGTTTATGAGGGTTGCTGAAACTCTGTATTTTTTGTTTGTGTTTTGTCTTTGTGAGAAATGTGAAATTAGCCAGGTAGTGGTGGGATATGCCTTTAATGCCAGCACTCGGGAGGCAGAAGCAGGCAGATCTCTGTGAGTTCGAGGCCAGCCTGGTCTACAAGAGCTAGTTTCCAGGACAGGCACCAAAGCTACACAGAGAAACTCTGTCTTGAAGAAACGAAACAAAACAAAAAGCCAAATTAAAACCATAGTAAGAAACCACTGCGCATTGACCATAATGGTTAATATATATTATTTAAATTGCTTTTTTTTCTTAAGCAGGGTTTCATGTAGCCTGGATTGATTTTAACTTGTTATGTAGCCAAAGATGGATTTGAATTCCTAATCCTTTAACCTCCACCTCTCAAGTGCTAGGATTACAGACATGTGTCACCACACCTAGTATGGTTAATATTTTAAACCTGGCAGTACTAAATGTTAAGTATAAGAAAAGATGGGAACCCTTTTATTCTCTGATGGGAGTGAAAACTTTTTCTTCCTTGACCTTGGCCTGCACTGAGTTGTGTATCTTTTTTTAATTTTTCTATTTTAAGATTTATTTACATATTTAGGTATACAGTGTTCTGCCTGCATGTATGCCTGCAGGCCAGAAGAGGGCACCAGATCTGTAAGAAGTGATTGTGAGCCACCACCATGTGGTTGCTGGGAATTGAACTCAGGACCCCTGGAAGAGCAATGTTCTTAACCTCTGAGCCATCTCTCCAGCACCCCAAATTGTGTATCTTTTGTACACATTTATAATTGTATGGTGCTTGAGATGAGGTTGTTGATTATTCTTGAATTATGGATAGTAACAAACCCCATGCTTAGTCATTGTTTTGATGTTTATTACTTGGCAGTATGGTTCCTCTGTGCTTTTCATTATGAACACAATCTAAGACACATATCTGCAGACAGGTATTCACCCACTAATTGGGATTTAAAAATAATAATAAAACATGTACAAATATATACAGTATGTTTTCTCTATTTCTTTTGTAGGTAGTAATCACAGCTATGTGGGTGCCAGTAGCAGAATGTCAAGAAGAGCACATTTATGCTCTGCCGCTACCAGTAGCTTATTAGACATTGATCCTTTAATCTTAATACATTTATTGGATCTTAAGGACCGGAGCAGTATGGAAAATCTGTGGGGCTTACAGCCTCGTCCATCTACTTCACTTTTGCAACCCACAGGTAAAATAATGTCTTTTTTTCCTTTGGTTCTCTGAAAGAACTATTGAATTTCTGTGTGTCTCATCTGAGTATTGGAACATAGTATGTTTCTCTAGTAAAATGATTTTTCATTCATGTCATATGAGTGATTTTTTTTTTAACCTGTCTAATCCCCACCCCACCCTCCACCCCCATGTGTGTGTTCGGGATTGAACTCAGAATCTTGTTGTCCTGGGTGAACTGGACCTATAGCCCTTTGCCTCATTTTCCCTGTTGTTGCTCAAGAGTTGTGTCAAAAACAAGTTCTGAATTTGTTTTTAAACCTTTGAAAAGGTTTTGGGGCTAGGGTGTGTAGCTCAGAAGATAGTAATCACCCAGCACACACAAATCTTTGTAATTGATCCCTAACACTGCAAAGAAAAACGAAGAAAGTTCTAAATGGTTGCCTTCTCTTTGTGCCTAACTGCTAGCTTGAGCCATGGGAAGAAGTACAGTTGTCTTCTTTGTGAATGGATTCGGTTTTTCAGGCCTACCTTTCAAGGGGTAATGTGTCTAAATAGAAAAACATTTACTTAATTATTCATTAAAGAAAAAATGTTTACCACTGCCATGGTGGCACATACCTGTTATAAGGATGGTAAAGACCGAGTCATGAGGATTGCTCTGAGTTTAATGTTAACCTAGGCTTCATAGTGAGTTCAAGTCCAGCCTGGACTATATTGTGTGACCTGTTTCAAGAAATCAAACAAGGCTGGTCATGATAACATGTATCTTTTATTCTATCATGTGTGAGGCAGAGACAGGTGGATCTCAATGAGTTCAAGGCTAGCCTGGTCTACATAATGAGTTCTGGACCAACCATAAGATACCTAGTGTAAGGCCCTGTCTCACACACACTTATGCAAACAAATGAACATCAAAACCTGAGAAAATGTTGTAGCACAAATAATAAAAACCCAGAGACAGATTTTGTAGTTCAGCCTAAATATCAGAAAAGCAAAGCAGCCAGCCACTGGCTCTTACCTCTACCTCGGACCAAAAATTGATGAGATCCTGTCTCTACGAGTCCTAAAGACTCAACACCCCACTGAGTTACTGTCTCTTCCATCTTATATTCTTCTTTCTGCCCAGCCATATTGCTCCTGTCTCCACCTCCCTAATGCTGGGATCACCTTTTTGTGAGCTCTTTTTCTCTTTTAGATATTCAATCTTGTGTAGCCCAGGGTGGCCTTGAACTACCAGAGATCCATCTTCCTGGGATTAAAAGTGCCTACCACCACCGCTTGGCCTGTATGTCTGACTAGTATGGCTGCTTTGCCCTGTGATCTTCATGCAAGCTTTATTTATTAAAACACAAATAGGGCTGGAGAGATGGCTCAGAGGTTAAGAGCACTGACTGCTCTTCCAGAGGTCCTGAGTTCAATTCCCAGCAACCACATGGTGGCTCGCAGCCATCTATGGTGAGATCTGGTGCCCTCTTCTGGCATGCAAGCATATATGGAAGGAATGTTGTGTACATAATAAATAAATCTTTAAAAAAAAAACACAAATAATATACTACTATAAAATGTATATTAATTATCCACAGTATTTTATGCCAAAGCTATTTAAGAGAAAAATATGCATTATTGTAGTAAGACAGCCATTTGTATAGTTCAGTCTAGGCTCTTTGAATCAGAGATAGAGTTGGTTTTTGTTTTGGTTTGGTTTTTGGTTTTTTGAGACAGGGTTTTTCTGTGTTGCTTTGGAGCCTCTCCTGGAACTGGCCCTTGTAGACCAGGCTGGCCTCGAACTCAGAGAGATCCACCTGCCTCTGTCTCCCAAGTGCTGGGATTAAAGGCGTGCTCCGCCACCACCTGACGAGATAGAGATTTTTTTTTTTTTCACAGATAGTGATTTACCATTAATGCTATTACAGTTTAAAGACAAGTTTTAGGGGCCTTTGGTATTACTCGGTAGTAATGTGCTTGCCTAGTGTGTGCAAGGCCCTTGCGTCCCTCCCCAGCTTCCCGTTCCTGGGGTTGGAGAAACAGCGCTTTTGTTGGAGTGCTTTCCACTGCATCCTTGGTATGTAGTGAAACATACTGACATTCCCTACCTTTCTAAATCGTAGTATTATATCCAACCATGATGTAGACAGGGATTTTGGTGATTTCTCAAAGCCGCAGAGCTCACACTTTCTGAACAAAATCATAGAACCTCTGTGTAGGAAACAAAGCCTGAGCCACTGCAGCAGTTTGGAGGTTACAGCCTGAACCAGTTGATTTTTTTCTTAAAGCATACTTCTGAAAGTCTTACCCCTCCATTTGAAAGACTATCTTCAGCTAGGTTCTGGGACAGTTGCTCTTCATTTATGGTTTGAGTACATTCTGTGTGAAGGTTCACTTAAATCAGTGGTTCTCAACCTTCCTAATGCTGCAACCCTTTAATATAGTTCCTCATGGTGTAATGACCCCCAACAATAAAATTATTTTTGTTGCTGCTTCATAACTGTAATTTTGCTACTGTTATGAATCATATTGTAAATATCTGACCTGCAGGATATCTGGTATGCGACCGCCAGGAGGGTTGCAATTTACAGGTTGAAAACTGTTGGCTTGAATGATAATTGGTGGTATGTGCAAAGTCCAAATGAAGCAGGTCAAGTCTGGCTCTATAATAAACATGTATAATTGACTTAACTTTAAGAGGAACAATTTTACAATTTGATTTACAAATAGATTTAATAAATAGGTAAAACCATGTTTCTGAAAATATTGAATGTCATTGGAGTACATACAGACTATATTAACAGTAATAGTCTTATTCTGGAATGTTTGGTTTTCTATGTAAAATTAATAGTGAAGCAACCTAAGATTTAAACCCAGTTGGCTAAAATAAGGGTAATAGCAAAAAGAATGTGGGGCAGATAATAAAAGGGAACAGCTAAGTCCGGGGTCTAACTTTGGAGTCGGTTACCAAGGTTAAGTGCCTGTCACATAGCTAGAATATAGATAGCTATAGTCTATTTAAAAAAAAAAATGAGCCAAATGGTCCGGGCAGTGGTGGCGCGTGCCTTTAATCCCAGCACTCGGGAGGCAGAGGCAGGCAGATCTCTGTGAGTTTGAGGCCAGCTTACAAGAGTTAGTTCCAGGACAACTATGACTGTTACACAGGGAAACCCTGTCGTCAAAAACAAAACAAAAACAAGCAAACAAACAAACAAAAAGAACCAATGAAGAGCCTTTTGGAAAAGAGAAAGACCAATAAAACAATATAAGGAGCCAAGTCAAAATAACCCTGTGTGTGTGTGGCTGGGGGCGGGGTGTTTATAAGGTTAATAAAGTCACAGAAAGAACCTCGTTTCTTGTATTAAAAAGGCTTGTGTGGAGTTTGTTAATTTCATTTCTTGGCATATTCATATTTTAATCATAAAGTTAATGGACATCTGTTATATGTCAAATTCATTGCCTGTTCATGTTCTTAATTGCTGTGCCCAGGGGATGTCATAAATGATACCAGGGTATCAAGTTGAAGTCAACTTTAAGGTAATCTAGTGCTAAACAGAATGAAGTAATCACATTGGTTCATCCTATGGAAGTTCTTGAATGCTAGCTAGCTTGAATTTAATCACAGTAGAGGATAGAGAGAGGTTTGATTTTAGTAGTGGTTTGATTTAAACCTTACTTTAGAAAATGAACAGTACTGATAAAACAGATAAATGAAAGTTTTTGACAGGATACTTAGTCTAGGGTTTCATTTCTGGTGTGAGAAAGTAAATTGGCAATTTTTAAGACATATGCTTAAAGTATATAGATAATCTCTCAGGGATTTTTTTTGGCATTAAAAAGTTCTAAGAGCTAAGGAAGTGGTCTAGCAGGTAATTAGATGCTCAAGCGACAAGAGCGAGGACCAGAGTTTGTTTCCTTAGAACACATGTGACTGTCGGGTGGATGTGGCAGCCTGCCTGTAATTTCAACCTTTTGGAGGCGAGGATAGAAATGGGTTTTCTGCAGCCAGCTGGCTAGCTAGAGTTTGAGAGATCATAGCTCCAGAAGGTATGTGGGACTCTTTCTTATTCCCCAAAGCTGTGAGGAAACACTAAAAGAAATAATACAGATTGAAGTCACTTCTAATTTACCTTAGAACTGTGGGCTATATCTGTTCTGGAAGTCTTCACCTAAGTGTGACTTCAAGAAACTGGGGTGTGTGTGTCTACTAGAAGTTGAGACTAAAGCTATCAGTAGATAATAGAACCTGGTAGTGTAGAGCTTGTGTGCAATCCAGTACTTTCCTTGTGGCTCTTCTGAGCATAAAGTAATACCTGCGATGGCCTTTAGAAAACATCTAATAGATGATCAGGAACTGAAAAGTCACACACAGGTTTGGAGTTCCAGGGGACACTGAGGAACATTGTTTTTTTTTGGGATAAGAAATTTATCGGAAGAGTTATTGATGTCATTGAAAGACAGCAGCATGGTAGAGCACTCTGAGGGGACTTTAGGCCCAAGAGGTGTGTGTGGGTCCCTTCTAACAGATTTCAGGAAAAAGGAGGCAGGTGTGTACAGCCTGGCTGTTTATGATTCCTGGGCAGCAAGGAGAGAGATGGAAGAGGGAATTCTGGGAAGGAATGTGGTACTTGAAGGATGTGGAGGAGTGAATGAGGAGGAGTATACCTGTTATACAGGTGGGATCTCTGTCACTGGTAGTTCTCTGATGTCACCCAGGAACCTAGTAGCCTTACATCTGTAAGCTTCATTGGGAGTGTGAGACGGTGTCTCTCATTCTCTGGTATCTGAACATCCGAGGAGGTCTGTTTGCAGGCTTGGAGACAGGCTCTTAGTAGCATATCTTTTCCTGTAGCCACAGAGATTTCAGAATCACTATGAGGATGGAGATGGAGAGGGCTGCTGACGGGGTGTAGCTGGGACACTGTTCCATCTGGAATTATACATCTACATAGAAGAATAGGTAGAGCTGAGTTGATGACGTGTTTGACTTCTAGGTTTTTCTTTTTCATTTTTTTAGATTGTAACTGTAAGAAGTATAGAAAGAAGCTGAGAAAAGTAGAAAAGTATTTAAAACAAGACAAAACATAAGGCAGAGCAGCCTCTAAACTTTAGAATTAAGATATAATTCAGTGAAGTGATTGTGACCCAGACTTTTAACTTGAAGCTTTAAAGTTTGAATAAGGTTAAGATAGTTGGACCTGTGTTTTCTGTGGTAGAATTTAATGCATGCTCTAAATTTTTTATTTCATCCATTTGTGTAGGTATGTATTGTGTACATGAGTATGTATGTGTCGTGGTGTATGTGTGGAGGTTATAGGACAATTTGCAAGACTCCGTTCTCTCCACCATGTGGTAGAATTTTAGGTTTAGGCCTCAGATTATTTGGCTTGGCAACAAGTGCCTTATCCACTAAGTCAGAGATTCCCAACCTGTGGGTTGTAACCCCTTTGGAGGTTGCTTATCAGATACACTACGTATTAGATATTTACGTTAAAATTTATAACAGCAGCAGAATTACAGCTACGAAGTAGCAATGAAATGACTTTATGGTCGGGGATCACCACACCATGAGAAACTATATTAAAGGATCACAGAATTAGGAAGGTTGAGAACCACTGATACCAGCAGTCTCTCTAGTCTTGATGCTTGTTCTTTGCTGATACAACGAAGCACCTTACCACATTTGACACTTTAAATTTGTGGGAAAGAATGAGGTCATGAATGTTAAAATTTATATGAACATGGCTTTTCACTTGTTTTCTTTTGAAGCATCATATTCTCGAAAAGATAAAGATCAAAGGAAGCAGCAGGCGATGTGGCGAGTGCCCTCTGACCTAAAGATGCTCAAAAGACTCAAAACTCAAATGGCTGAAGTTCGGTGTATGAAGACCGACGTGAAAACAACACTATCTGATATAAAAGGCACTGGGATTGCTTCTGGAGACATACAGGCAAACCTGTTTTGTGCTGACCAGGCAGCTCTGGCTACCTGTGGACCTGAAAACTCTGGTAGACTACAGGATTTGGGAATGGAGCTCCTAGCAAAGTCATCAGTTGCTGGCTGTTACATACGGAACCGTAAGTGAAGAAGTTGTTTCTCCCATGAACTTTATGAAAACATTTGACTCATTGTTTTCACTTAATAATCTATCAATGTGTCTGTTCTAGTGAGATAAACTAAAATTTTTTTAATGTATATGGATATTTTGCCGGCAGGTGTGTGTGTATAATGTGTGTATGCCTGATGCCTACAGAGGCCAGAAAGAGTGCATTGAATCCCCTGGATCTGGATTTATAGGTTTTTGTGAGTGACTGTATGGGTGTTAGGACTTGCACCTAGGTCCTCTGCAAAAGTAGTAAGTGCTCTTAACCACAGAGTCATCTCTTCTACCCTTCTTATGAGTTAAAATAGCCTCTGTTTCTCTCCATCCAAAATTGTTTGACGTTTTTAAAAAGAATTTGTGTACCGAATGCGAACTGTACCGAGGTGTAACACCAAAACCGGGTGTTACAATTGGAGGCCCTTTTCTACCTAACTGCAGCACAAAGATCTCACCACCCAGGGAGGTGGGAAATAAACACACAGGAAGCTTAGTTAACAATGGAGAAGATTGCCTGCAGCTAAATCACCAGGTGGGGCAGGGATAGCATGGAAACACACAGGAAGCTTAGTTAACAAATAACAAACTGTCCC